AGGAGAAGGAGAAGAAGCAGAAGAGGAAGAAGAAGAAGGAGAAGAAGGAGAAGAAGAAAGCAGATGACAAATATGTCCGTATACACGTGGTGTACGTGCATGCGGGGTGGAGGCGGTTTTGGGGGAAGATGATCTCACAACACCAAAAGAAATGAACACAACCCATCTGGGACAACTTGATCTCTCCCAAACGTAACAGGTGTCCTGATCTCTGACCACCACGGCCACCAGCGCCATGCTCAACCACCAGCAATTGGTGTCCCTTTAAGATATGTTACCCTTCCAGGCGCGGTGTCCGGCACGGCAACGCCTCGTAGCAAATGTTCTCGCCTCGCGGCGCCGAGAAACTCTCCGCCGAAAACGTATGGAGCACGGCGCGGTGCCGAAACTCTCCGCGTGTCCTAAAGCCTAAAGATCTCATGCCAAGCACCTGGAAGCTGGGGTTGGACACATGCTTCACTCAAATCGATGAGCTGACATCTTCATACGAATGGCTCTCGTCTTTTGCTCCAATGGGTCTACGGCCTACGGGGTCTGAGCTGTCCACGTGACGTTGCTTTGGTGTTGCGCACGTGACGTAGGACGCTCTCAAGCAAGACACTCTTCCAGGACGCTCTCAAGCAAGTGCGACACGCTTGCATGACACTCCGCTGGGACACTCTGCTGGCACACTCTTGAATGTGGGGTTCTTGCTTGACACATCTCGGTTGACAAGACCAATGTCCAGCGACATGTGACCTACACCAAACGTCGCGTCCTCCAGATTCCCCTCGCCTCCCAACAGATACACTCTGACATTGGTTTTCAGTGACTCTGTTACCACGTTGAGAAGGAAGGCGATAGAACGGCATGGTGAAAGGTCCAAAGACTTGAAGGTGTTTTAACATTGAAGTTTCTCATCTGCAGCGGTGCGACGACGACGCGCGCGGGCGGCGAGGGAAAGGGTTTAGGGGAAGTAGCATGAACCACCATGGAAACAAACAAAGAAAGAGTGGAGTGACAGCTTGTACAACAGTTCGGCAGGTACGTTTGCAGCTCCCCCCAGTGGCCTCTTCGTTGGCCATCCGCCACTGGGGAGGGGGATGGCCCCCTGCCGAGGTTGGTTGAGAACCCTTTGTCCAGGGGTGGACACACACAAATCGCCGGCTTCGGCGCTTTTTCAAAGAACGGTGGCACAGACACGGTGCCGCTTGGCGGCGCGTGCGTGGAAAGCCTGAATAGATACCTAAAAAGCCTTAGAAACAAAAGGAAAGAAACACAGAAAGAGCAGCGCTAAGAGGGCAAGAGAGAAAGATAGGCGTAGAAAAAATGAAAAATGAATACTTAGCCCTTGACTGGGGTAGGGAAACGAGCCTCAAGAACAACCTAAAAAGCCTGAGAGAAAGCCTAACAAACGACAAAAAACGCAAGAAGGAAAGCGGGGGGGCAGGGAGGGGGTGTATGTCCATGTGTGTGTACGTGTGTGTGTTTGACTACCTAGCACTCTAGAATTACTGAATACTTAGACGAAGTGAATTAGGTGCACTAGTTAGGGAGCGGGACTTTTGTCTTAGACCGCCCGGGTAGGAAAGACTAGAACAGGAACAACACAGGGAAAGGCACCGACACACAAGTGTGTCGAGTACCATTTCCCTATGTTGCCCTAAATAGGTAGGGAGTAGAAGACAGCGGGGGGGGGG